GAAAAAAATGGTGGTAACTGATCTGATTAGAGGAGGAACGGTATCTACATACAACTTACATTCTTAAACACAAGTCTCAGTGTTTCTTCCTAAAATCAGTAAAAATATTTCAGCATAGAAGGATCTGTGCTGCCTAAAACACTCTTTATTACCTATAGACCAAGAGGGAAAGATACAGATGCAGTACAGAAGTGAACTATTTTTAATAATCTCTTAGGATTTGTATATCTTGCCTGTTTAAACATACTTTTACATGGAATATTTAAATAAGAAAAAATATCTTAGCATATCCTTTAGCATAATCTGAAGTAATACTCTCAGAACAGATATATTAACATTGTGCTTTATCATAAAAATATGTTCATCCTCAGGCTAAAATATTACTTTACCCTGTCTCATGTTCTAGATTTGACTGTGTCTGTACCAATGATTTTCAAAAGAATTAGTGAAATCTGAATTTAAAACAAAACAAAACAAAATAATGGTTTCCCAGACAACACAGCTAGCAGAGTTAGCAACAACGTTTCAGCAGAAATGGCACCTTTTATTTTTTTTTAAATTTTAAGTATTGTCTGCAATTATCAATCATAGAATAGTTTGGGTTGGAAGGGACCTTAAATATCATCTAGTTCCAACCTCTTTGTCATGGGCAGGGACACCTTCCACTAGACCAGGTTGCTCAAAGCCCCATCCAATCTGGCCTCAAACACTTCCAGGGAGGAGGCGTCCACAACTTCTCTGGGCAACCTATTCCAGTGCCTCAGCACGCTCATAGGGAAGCATTTCTTCCTTATATCTAATCTAAATCTGCCCTCTTCCAGTTTAAAGCCATTACCCCTTGTCCTATCACTCCATGCACTTGTAAAAAGTCCCTCTCCAGCTTTCTTGTAGGCCCCTTTCAGGTACTGGAAGATTGCTATAAGGTCTCCCTGGAGCCCTCTCTTCTCCAGGCTGAACAACCCCAGCTCTCTCAGCCTGTCCTCACAGGGGAGGTGCTCCAGCCCCTTGATCATCTTCGTGGTTCTCCACTGGACCTGCTCAAGCAGGTCCATGTCCTGCTTATGTTGGGGGCCCTAGAGCTGAACGCAATACTCCAGGTGAGGTCTCACGAGAGCGAAGTAGAGGGGCAGAATCACCTCCCTCGACCTGCTGGCCACACTTCATTTGATGCAGCCCTGGATACGGTTGGCTTTCTGGGCTGCTAGCGCACATTGCCAGGTCATGTTGAGTTTCTCATCAACCACCACCCTCAAGTCTTTCTCCTCAGGGCTGCTCTCTATCCATTCTCTGCCCAGCTTGTATTTGTGCTTGGGATTTCCTCGAACCATGTGCAGGATGTTGCACTTGGCCTTGTTGAACTTCCTGAGGTTCCCAAGGGCCCACCTCTCCAGCCTGTCAAGGTCCCTCTGGATGGCATCCCTCCAGTGTGTTACCACGCCACACAGTTTGGTGTCATCAGCAAACTTGCTGAGGGTGCACTCAATCCCACTGTCCATGTCATTGCAACCACTTATCAACAGCATCATGGTACAAAATAGGCATGAGTTTTAGAAAGTTTCATTTCCTTCAGCCTTTTAAGATATTAATAATTTTTTTTAAAACAGTTATGCAGCCTATTTGTGTAGCAAGTCCATCAAAAGATGAAATTCTGAAAAGTTCAGGTTCGGCTTTCAGCCACACGAGGACTACCTAAAACACCCCTAACAGAACAGACCAACGCGATCTATTTAAGAAGTGTTCTTAAAATTGCAAGTTAATATATTTCATTGTGGTTTGTTTTGACAACAGATATCGCTAACTGATTTTCAACTCCACTTATTTAGGACTTTTTGAAAGAGGACTCCCTACTACCTTAGGCTTTTGTGAGAAACAAACAGGGTGGCTAGGATCCTTTTTCAGAACTGATCTATGACATTGTAACAGAAAATTCCAGCTATTAGTCAGCATAATTAGCCAGGAAAGATCCATACCAAACTGAAGAACATGCAAAGTGGTAAAACTCCCCTGAGCTTCCTCCATTCAGAAAGGCTAATATTCACTCCTTGAAGAATATGACTACTGTTAATAGAAAACAAAGTCTAAGAGGCTCTGATCTTGTTAGATTTCTCACTGTTTCTCTTTTAAATAGAAAATATTTAACCAATAAAAATGTACAGGTGTAATTGCCCACTAAGACCATACATAGAAGAGATTTAAAACAGAAAAATGATTAGGTTAGGAACACAAGCAGATAGATATATGTATATTCCAACTAGGAAAGCTGGGATGGAGTATGGATAGGATTAGTACTAATACATATGAAGATAGGTAGACTATCTAAAAGGGATCAGATCTTTTCCCATGAAAGAAACTGACCTAAGTAAAGGTACTTATTAGCCTTCCTAACCTAGAAGTCACCTCTGCAAACATTCCTTGGTTTCCCCTCATTTGTGTAGTGAACACAAATGGCACGTACATGCCGCAAAACCAGAAGCAACACTCCCCACATCCATATGGTCTCCTCTGTTCTAGATCATTTTTGGCAAAAAAAACATTGCTATTTTATCAGATACAGGAAATCCATTTAAAACTAGAGATTGTAAAATGAAAGTTCTGTCCAGGGTGAAACACTGAAATAGTGAGTGAGTAAATACAGACGTAAACACAAAACTGAATTAGGAGGCTTTGAAGTTTACAACAATACATAGGAAGAAATCATGACCAATTCATACAATTATGGATGCTAAACCAGAAAGCAAATAGATTCACCTTTAATAAGGTTGTCTCTATTGTAAAAATGCTACTTTGCTTAGAAAAACAGGTTTTCTTTAAACTTTGTATCTCATATTTCAAGGTGATACAGTGAAGGGATTGGGGGAAGGAGGAAATAAAATGGATACTGTTCACAAAACCTGAATGCTTAGAAGCAGCCTTGGCTTCTTACATGAAACAAAGAGACTATGACCATCGTCCTGATTCACCTGCTACAAATATTTCCCAAATATGCTAAGAAATATCCCTTTTTTCAAAGAAGATATTTTTCACACAAACAAAATGGATTTAAACATAGTTGGCTGAAAATAATGCATTTCTGAATGTGCTTTACTATGCTTTGTTAGGACCAATTGAAGAACTTAGAAAAAAAATAGGCTTGCATCCTTCTGCTTTGGGTAGGTCATCCGCAATCAAAACACATTTATAAAATGGTAGTAACTGAAAAATCTCCGAGTCTTGCTATGCATGCAGCAGTATCCTTTGAAAACTCGTGTTATGACTGAACAAATTTCTGTCCTCCTTCAACTTTTATGCTCCAACACAAAAACCCCCACCACTTTACCACAGTGAATACTTCCACATCTTATCTCTGCATTAATATGCTTTTATTCTTCCTGAAAAATCTTGTATCGTCCTACCATAAAACTATGATGGTCAATTTCTAAAGCACTCAATGTTACCTGTGGGTCTTAGGGCTCAGTAAACATGATACTGCATATGTTCCTGTGGGTGACATTAATACATGCTGAAAGAAGTTAGATTTTTATGGATTAAAGCACATGGCAAACTATGACAATGCTGATGCTCAAAAACAACATACATCATCAGTAAACGAACTCCGCATTTAATAACCTTCTCCTTTAAAAGCAACTCAAAAAACTGCATCCAGAGAAACAAGCTTTGTACAGGCTTGCTAAACATATATGGCGCCATTAATGCTCAGAAAGGTAACTGATCAGAAGATGTACGCTGTTTCTGAGAGCTGGTCAGTAGCTCCAGGCCCCCAAAACGCAAAGTGAAAAAGAGCTGTTTTAAGTTTCCACCAGAGTGCCAAAACAGGTATTACCATTGAATCAGAGACTTAGGCCATAGCAGATCAGTGTGAAAGAGAACCCCTTAATAGCATTATCTACTATTTCTACTCATGCTGAAAGTTATCCTCTGTATAAATGAGTATGCAAGGGAGCCAGACACAGGTGCCTTGGTAGCACAAAGATAACTTATTTCAGTTTTACATGCAAAAATGCTGTCCTACAGATCTGGAAGTCTTGCAAGCTATCCTGTTTTCACTGTATACAGAACCTCAGGCTTTACATCAGCATTTTTTTATTTCTTTCATTATCAAAAACAGTAATAAAAGAATTCAATCCCTGCCACATGAATCCTAATCTGATGCAATCTACATATCAATGTAGATCTGGTGGCTATGTGCTGAAGAGGCTTTCAAACAGCTGTACCAGATTTTTTTTTTAACCTCCCCAGATTTTCTGTTGTTTTTTGGGAATTCTATAATTTCATACATGTTTAATTCAATCTCCTTTTTTTTTTTTTTAAGTACTAAGAAATCAACTTAAAAAAACACACTTAAAATACAAACACTGTTTGCTTTCAAATGAACAGCTGTGAATTTTAGGATTTAGGCATTAAGGCTGAAAATCTGAACTTGCACTTAAGGTAGTCAGTGCAAGGTGGATGGTAAAAGAAAAAGCTACGCGAGTCTGAGTTCATTACCTGCTGACTTCAACTTCTCTCCAACAGACTGTTTTTTTTTGCAGATAATCAGGTAGTTACAATATTCTGAGAAATTTATAAATGACCTCTTGACAAAAGTTTCAAGAAAATATATTTATTCAATTTTAGCAGAGGAAGAAAACATAATAAATATAACAATTTCTCACACCCTTCTTTACAAGATATTTTTACATTCAAACATTACATTACTCTTACAAATTTCAACTAGTATTTCAAATTTTAAAAGACCTGAAAAAGGAAAGAACTTTTAACATTAAAAAATAAATATATCAGAGTAAAAGAGTGCAAATGTTTTATTTCTTGTGGCTAGTGCTAAGTGTTCAAGTCCTTTAGAACACTGCAAGATGCATATCAGATCAGCAATATTGCAAGCATCCAATTAGCACGCACAACTATTACATTAAGTGAACAATACAGATTGCAATTTTTCATGGTACAACCTTGATTTGTCTCTCAAATAACATTGAAAAAGACTTTTCCAAATTTCTGCTATTATGACAACATGAGCTTTTTACAAATCCCACACTCAAGTCCTCAGCTGAAGCAAAATGGATCTAAGCTTGAATCTTCTCAAAGCAAGACAACTACCAGGCAAGTACAATTATCATTCTGACAGGTTTATACAGGTATTCGGAGTGCAGCTGATACTTTCTCAGCAGAAGGAGATGCAATTACATTGGGATTTTTATTTCCATAAACTGGGACGGCAATCCCTTAGATTCTGTAGGATGCCCATAGCTGTGTTTTGATAGCCATCAGGTTTTGTTCATTTTCTATGTACCATCTATTCAAACCAGTTTTCTTTCAGTAAAAAACGTACAGCATCATCAAATCCATTTTGGTACAACAATTCCATTTTCTCCTGGTTTGGTGGGAACAAAGCTTGATTAAGTCTTACTAGGTTGGCCAGAGACAGCTGCAACAGAGCAAGAAGCTATAAATTAGTTTATTATAGCAACTTATCTAGACTTGACTGTGTTGCTATCTGTTCTGTCATCTGTTTCATGTAGCATATGTAAAAACTTAAGACCAGCATGGCTATGTCTACACTAGTAAATTAACCGTGTCCAGGTACACTGCTGAGCGCCAAGACAAACTGGCACAAATGGTCTGCATATCCACTATTAAACTCACAGCCTCCAAGACAGACTGTCTGCCTGTAAAACTGCCCAAAGCTTCTGAAACATTTTAACTTCGGAACCATTCCCAGAGCTGTCTGGAAGAGTGGTAGCTGGCACGTGCTAAAGTTGTGCAAGGAAATATTTTGAAAGCTTACTAGTGCAAACCACCATATTCTTGGGAACATTCCCAGGCAATGTTTAACATACGAGTATAAACGTAGCTTGTATTACCAACAAATTAAGACCTACTCAGCATATCAAGTGGTCACTTTGATGGTGTAAAAAGATTTCAGAACTCTATTCTTGAATAAAGACATTATTAAATTGTTTACAACAAAATTAAAAATATAATTAGATTTAATAAAGTTCTGAACACTTTATTTACATCATTAATTCAATACTTTAGCCACATACTTCATTATTCACACTTTTGAAAAACAATATCAAACTAATCTTCATTATTTGAAGTAAGCAATTATTCAAATTTACACTAATAGATGCAGGAGGTTCAAAGAGACAGAAGACTGCTCACATTCCAATCCAGATAAATGAAGGTCTAGATCTCTATTCTATGCAGATTACAATATTGCTGAAAAAAATTTATTCTTAGTTCACATTTTTACAGCTCTAAAAGCTAAGGGTGCTTCAAATGGAATAGTTTAAAATGTTGCCTGAGATTCTGCACAATTCTGCATTTGCAGAACCCTAGAAGAAATGTAACTCTGCAATTCATTTTGTCTCTAAACTAACCTAATCACCAGCTCATTTTTCCTCCTCTAGATGTACTAGATATTAGATACAAATCACAACCAAGAAATACAGAGTGAGCAATTGCATATAGTTTCAATATATACAAAATCAGTAATCTCATGCTTTATGATCATTTACCAAGTACTATCATGCTTAAAATTTCTCTGTGAAACATTATAAAGATTCAGAAATTGGTCCAATTTAGGATTACATCACTCAAATTAAGAAAACATATTAACAACTGTCTAAAAGGAACTTTAAAAAAGTAACAATTATTGCTAATCTTTATTTTTTCTTTCTAATGGAGTTTTATTGACAGCTAGGTCTACTGCTATTCAATATTTTCTTTCATTATGTCAAAGGAAGCGATACTGTGGTTAAAGTTTGTGAGACAAAGCTTGCAAAGACAGAAATGTCAACAATGAAAAGAAGGCCATAAAAATCAGTCTTAGTCTATATTTCCCATATACAGAAGTGTTTCTGTAACATCTAACAAAACTTCTGGAAAAATGTTGTGGTTACAAATGTTCAAAATCTTAACATGAGCTCTCTTGAGCAATGAGGTGACAAGCCACTATACCATTTCAAATGTACAACAAACTTGTATATTAAATTCAGTTAAAGCAGCTAATTTCAGTAAGTATGAAGGGATGTTCTGGAGTTTCCCCCTCCTGAGGTATTCTACAGAAGTCTTTTTTTTTTCTCCCTATAAACACTCTGCCTAGCCAAAGACAGCTGATACTTAAAGCAAGCCTAGATTATTTACATTTAATTGCCTGTGATAATTTGCTCAATTTTGTGCTAGATCAAAGCTTTTCAACCTTTCTGACAAAATTTCTTCTGTCTTCCTTCCCTTATGTTTAAGAAAAAGTTTACACTCCATTTGCAAAACAGAAAATTCCAAAACATTACTTAAGCTGATATATACGCAGAAAATAAACACTTAAAAATAAGCATAACCTTAACTGCTCAACTAGCTTTTCTTCTTCTGAAGTTATTTAATAAACAAGCAACTCACCATTATATCTTGTTTTGCAAATTTAACATAAAGATCCACACGTCCTTTATCTTGTGGACAGATATCTAATCGACCACTGAAAGGAGAAATCGTCACAGTTCTTCCAACAGGCAAGATAGGAAGGCCATTGGTAAGACCACCATCAACCCACTTCTATTGGAAAATAAAAATATTTTCAAAGTAACCTTAGCACACTATGTTCATAATTAAACACTTCATCCTTCCTGTCCCTGCCTCCTCCACCCCACCCTCAAGAAAATTTACAAGTTTCCTTCTGAGAAAATCATGAATAAGCTTGAGTATGAAGCATAAAAATCAAGGAACTGACAATGTACACACACAGTGTTTAATTAATGAGTGTTTGACATAATGTGAAATATGTAATATATTTATCAAGTTACTGACACGGCTTGTTAGTTGACCTAATAACAAAATGCCCCATACAGAATTTTTCTCAACACATACATGAAAAGTTAAGATTGTTAATATTACATGTGAACCATATCAGATAAAGTATACTCCTCTCAAACATTACTCTGATTCAAACTAGGAGCTGGACAATCTGTATGTGCAGGTAAACCGACTGCACAACGTAAACCAAAAATGGCTTCTCTTCTTCCAGAGCCTCTTGTCTTCTTACATATACAACACAAGACAGCAATAGCTGGAAAGTGGAGGGTAAAGGCGGGAAGGAGCTGAACGACTACAGCACATTAGAGGGAGCAGACATCAGGTCTGCTACAGGAGTTGAGTATAGGAAAGAATGAGGAAGAAAAAACAAAAGAAACCAATTAATTTCTTGCAGAATCTCACATATTTTTTGGCAGTCTAGGGGCACAAGCCTGATCTTCAACAGGGACCATAGCAAAATTCCATCCTAGCATAAGCAGGGAGAGCTGTGACATCTCCTTCCAATATATTTTATACATTCATATTTCTTACTGTGCTTACATGCATAACCCAAAACTCAACACCAGTCTACTGGCTAGATGCATTCACTGACATCATACATGAGGTCTGCTGATCAGGTGCATCTCACTTAAGTTTATACATCTGCAGCCAAATTAGTCATTCTACACTTCCTTTATCATCAATCGAGAGAACAATTCTAGCAAATTGATGATCCACCTTATTCTAAAGTAAGCACTTACATCTGATTTGAATTGTGCTGAAAAAGTGCTTTCTTCTCTTCTTCTCCACTAATTATAAAGGAAACATGCATTAACTTTGTAAGATGTAGACTACTGCACACACCTAAAGCTAATCAAGTTGAAATCCTGTAAGAAATAATATTGTAAGATTCACCTCAGTGTTTCTTAAGGGTTTGACCTCCCCAAAGATAAACGTAACGCTCCAGGATATCAGCTTCAAGTTTCATTAACAGAGAACATTATAAACAAATAGCAAATTGTGCTAGTACTCTTTAGCGCCAGTCAGGCAGAAGACTGCTTTTCTGCTGTAGGTGATACTGTATGTGACTGTTATGAAACAGCAAAATAATGCAAGTTTTCCCACAAAATTACTGCAAATGCCACAGGAATTTAGTCACAAAATTAAAAAAAAAATCTCCCACAAAAAGTATACTATTACAAAGTTGTTTACAACATCTAAATTAAACTTGTCTTCAAACTGTTGGCAAGACACTAGCTTTCAGTGCAGTGGCTGCTATACAGGAAGCATTATCTCAGGTTACAGTGTTTGTTCTTCAGAAGCCCCTGAGATTCTCTGAGGTCTGTCACTTGGTTGTATAGATCCGTCTCAGCTGTATCCTTTACTCTTGCTTAAAGCAAATCTCCTTTTAATTCTACAGGTATAGATTTCTCCCAGTACCACTGTTTAGTTCATGCAACCAAAAGACTTTGTTGTCACTTGCCCCTCCTTCCACTGTCAACTCCCATATCTGGCAATACATGGATTTACTCTTTTACATGCGGATATATAGCAAGCACCATCTGGGGGGAGCGGGTAGGGGGGAAGGTTGCTTTGTCCCTCCACCCCGCCCTCTTTTTCACTTTCTCAGGTGAAATTTGCCATTTCACAATTCTTTGTGCTCCTGAGCTTAAAATATAAGCTACAAATATTCACATTCAATAGTCTCCATGAACCTTCTCACCCTATTATTTCATAACATACTTTAGAGCTTGACTCTTGACATTAGCTCTTGATGTCAGTACCCACAATCCACCATTGAATTCCTTCACTTTCCACAAAAATTGTATTTCTCAATTCTTAGGATTGAGATTGTTTTGCCTTAGAAAAAGAGGCAAAAAAAAAAAATTCTAAAACCATTTAAAGCTATCTTTCAGACTTCTCGAACTCCATTACACCATTGCTGCGATAACTGTGAGTAAAGCTGCAACATACCTTAACATTTCTAACACTAAGGCTTTTTTCCTGTGTGTCCATAAATAGTCATTTATTATTGATTTAAATGCAATGTTCCTTGGAGTACTAAGTGGCTTTTCGTTGCAGTTCCTACAGTGACAGAACAGTGGAGTCCCTGTCTAAGCCAAGTCAAAGACACCATAACATATGACATTATTAATGTCTTCCACAAGTCTAGCTTAGTACTTTTACCACTTAGAAGTTCTCCCGCTTTTAAAAATTCAGATTATTTAGATTTTTTTCCCCTCTCCTCTTATGCAACTTCAATATTTATTTGAAAAATTAAAATATTTACCAAGGCAAGTGCAATACTTTTCGTTAAGCACTATATTTTGTAAACTCTGTTATTCCTAGCTGACATGCCCTCTGTCATTTTATTTTCTTTCAAACATTTGTGAGAAACTGCTTCTCAGTCAAAAATATTTTGGCTCCACAGTATCTCATGTTACATAGTTAAAATAAAACATTTGTATGTGTCCTGATTTCAGCTGGGATAGAGTTAATTTTCTTCTTAGTAGCTGGTATAGTGCTGTGTTTTGGATTTAGTATGAGAATAATGTTGATAACACACTGATGTTTTAGTTGTTGCTAAGTAGTGTCTATGCTAGTCAAGGACTTTTCAGCTTCGCATGCTCTACCAGGTGCATGAGAAGCTGGGAGGGGGCACAGCCAGGGGGCCTGACCCACATTGGCCACAGGGCTATTCCACACCATATGACGTCATGCTCAGTATATAACTGGGGCGAGTTGGCCGGGGGGGAAGGGATCGCTGCTCGGGAACAGGCTGGGCATCAGTCACGGGGTGGTGAGCAATTGTGTCGTATATCACTTGCTTTGTACATTATTATTGTATTATATTATTATTATTATTACTACTACTACTACTACTATCATTCTATTTCATTTTACTTCAATTATTAAACTGTTCTTATCTCAACCCAGGAGTTGTCTGACTTTCACCCTTCCAATTCTCTCCCCCACCCCACTGGGGGGGAGTGAGTGAGCGGCTGTGTGGTTCATAGTTGCTGGCTGGGGTTAAACCACAACAGTATGCTGAAAATAAAGAAACATAATGCCCCATATTCTTTTCATTTCATTAACCAATTCTTGAAAAATGCTTCTTAGCTGATGAGGCAAATTCCTGGTAACTTCTGAATTAGTTTCTTTTTTGTAAGTACAGTGCAAAGACAGAGTTCTGAAATAATGTGAATGAAAACCAAACCAGACAATGAAATTAAGAATGTCGGCTGATCCTAACAGAATCTACCCATTTACCAGTAGATGGTTTTTACAAAGCTGTTCTGTAAGAACTACAGTGACAGAAACTACAGCCTCATCATCAGATACAGTCAACTCAATCATCTGTGGATCTTTATCTGTCTTAAAGATTAACCTTGCCAGAGATTCAGAGGACACTAAACCAACTGAAAGAAAGATAATTTCACACGGAGCAAGTTTGCCCTGCTGTTACTGGAAGCCTAGTCCAAGGGCACCTTAAATACCCAGCCAAGGTAAAAAGCTAGCTGACATCATTAACAGACTATAACTTCTCAGATGTTGCTCTACACTCCCTTTTCCATCAGATTATTTTTAGGCTCATCAAACCAGAAGAAAACATACTATGAACAGACTGTTGTTACACCTATGTTACCATGCTTCCCAAAAAGCATTCTTCCTGAAAAGAAAACTAAAGTGCAATGCTGGGAACAGTTTACCTGGGGTTTACTCTCTATAGGCAGTATGGACAGGCTAGCAACAGGTTTGGCTATTTTCTGATACTATCCCAGCAAAACTGCACCATACTCCCTTACGTATCACACAACATGTATTTCAGTATGTTATCTAAGGTACCTTTCAAAAACATTCCCAGATGGCCTGGTGATATGTATGCAAGTGACATATGTAGACCAGAGAAGATCCAGATCAGCTGTTCTGAAGCACAGGTAAGGCCAGTAGACTCGAGCAGCAGGGAGTAAGCTCAATTCCATGCTGCCGTGGACCATATGGCCAAAGGAATTTACCCCCTGAAACTAATGTAAATGCAGGCAGACAGACAGAACTTTAGTCTGCTACAGTAAAGCTTTCAGAAAACTTGGAATATGATGCTAATATGATAGGCGGCCTTGCAGAGCCAAATCAGTATCCAATCCATCTTACCGACTTCAGTGCTTACCATGTCTGGATCACGAGGTTACATGCCATGTATCTGGCTCTACACTGCATGCTTTAGGGGCCCTATTACCCACCTACATATCCTTGTTACCCACTATTCTAAGCTGTGGAAATACTATTGCAATAGAAATCCTATGATCTTTGCTCTCACCCTGCTCTAAGTATTTTGGACTAAAGAATGGAAGTCGCATTCATTTACGGGCAACAATTTTCCCGGGGAAAAAAAAACCTCCCCACACCACAAATGCAATATTTTAAAAGAGTATGAGAAAAGTCAGTGCAGACATGCATAACTAATCATTCCAACAAATAACAATAAATGAAAGCAACCTTCTTCTCAGAAACTGCCTTTTCTGAAGGAGAGTAGTAAGAAGCTTTGGGAATGACAACAAACTTTCAAGTAACAGAAGAACCAGTTTCTGTGAAACATTCATTGATTTCACTTCTGAATGCAAAAAATAAAGCTGGGCAGGAACAAGAACTGTCCACTAAGAAGAGGCTGAAGGTGTTTCAGTAAATACTACAATACCCGGGCAAATCATAATAGCAGTGTTCATCCAATAAAATGGGTTTTAAATAAGTTTTGGACAAAACTCTGAGCCAACTTTTCATTCTCTTATTTGAAAGAACAACACAAGAAATTAAACAAAGACACTTCCTTCCCTTTAACTAATGGCAGAATGAACCTAGAACAACCATGTGTGCCCCTTCAACTGCACAAGCAACATATAAAGACTCTAATCAACAAAATTTCCAGACCCTGGGAAGCTGCAAGGAGTCTCCATTTAACACAAGCAGTCAGGCAATACTGATTTAAACCCTTCACACATTTTAGCTGGTATATATTGCTGTATACATAGTTCTAAAGCTGACAAGCCTTCTGACATAATGAACTCCAATTCCCTCTTGCTAGAGACAAATGCATATGGTTTTGTGGGGTTTTTTGTTTGTTTTTGTTTGGGTTTGGGTTTTTTTGTTTGGTTGGTTTTTTTTGGCAGAGTGGCTGTAAGGATTATAGATGATCTAAAGGCACCATTTGGATGCATATGAGGAAATAAAGGAGAGAGTATCATGTAGTAATTCTCAGAAAGAAAAAAATGGCTATTTTCATGCTTCTAGTAATTACAAACAGACTAAACAGTCAAAATTATTCTTAAAATGTTAATATATTTATATAAGTAAGACAAAAAAGTTCTTGAAGCTAAACCAAGTACAAGCAACTGTGAAAAGGTTTTCTTATAGTAGCATACATCTTTGAAAACTTTATAGCTGTGTGCTATAGGGGGAAAAAAAATGTATTCTTTAATGTTTATCCAGAGATAAGAGATCTGAAGGTGCCTGAAGCATGTTCTCACGTTCTGTACAGAATTACAACACAGACTTAGACACACACATGTACCGCAGCAGTGTCCAAGCTGCCAAGACCTTCCTTATCATTCCTGCCATTAAACAGAAAAGCAGAATGGTGGTCCTTTAAATTGCAGAAAACATTTTAGAGTTGGTAACACAACTTGCCATGAGAAGCATCTTTACTACAAGAAGCTTTTCCTAATGGTAAGCAGGAGACATTATCTTTAGGAAACAGTTTCATGCCACACAGATCATTTCAGTCTCAACACCCACAATTTTTGAAACAACACATGAATGAACTCATGACATCTTTCATGGTGTTAATCTACAGTATCAACAGAAACAGTAACTATTCTACAAAATACAGTACTGCAATTCCCACCTACCCTTCCCCCAAGATCAAATAATTACATCATAAATGAAGAATGCTCTTACAAAAAAAAAAAGTTGGTAGTTAAACTTAATGAAAAATTACCTCTCCTTTATATTCAACTGGCTTAATTCCTGCATATACTGGTACAAAACTACTTGCTAGCAGGACCTAGAGAAAAGAAAGGAGAAAGAATAGAGAACAGAAGTGAAGAAAAAGCAACAAATTAATTCTGAACCAATACATATTTTCATACATATGTATTAAATAATATAGCAGTAACCAGTTAATATATTAGTTTTTTGTAAAACCATTGTCATCTCAAAATGTCTTGTTGTTGTGGTATGTCAAAATGTGATTAAAACTACTCAGTAGGGTTTGGTTTTTTATGACTTGACAGTGACAACTCTCAAAACGAAATATCACAAATTAACTCATTGATTAATGTGATTCAAAAGAGTATGAACCTAGTCTTACACAATGTGAAGTAAATGTATGATTTTGCAAAAACTATGCATATGCTGAAAAAAATGCCATATAGAGTATTGTCAAAGAAGCTGACCCAATCATTCTGCTGGCATGTTAATATAGTGTTTACTCTTCTAATAAATTAGATTGTCTAAGAATTAAACATTTTGAAAAATACTACAAACAGCCTGAAAATTCACATATGTATATCTTTATCAGTATCAATACTTTCCATTTAATGCATTCAAGTATTAACAAATTACTACTTGTCCTATTGTAAGCCTACATTGCTGTCTACAGCAGTTCTCAATTTTTATTTTCTTTTAGACCACGACACCTCTTCTGTCATGTACTGATGTGCACACACACATACCTTTCTATCCACTCATAGTAATATCTATGACTCTGTGTGTGTATCTCTGCACCTATGTATCCACCCATATATATATATATATATGCAATTAGTATACAGCATTTCAAAGACAAGGGGTAGATGTGTGGATGAAGTGCAGTATGTCAGAAATTTTCATATAGCTAAATGTGGAGAATATGCATGCATATGCGTGCATAGCAGCATGAGAGAGAAATCTGGGGAACAGAAGCAGGTTACAGACTGGACTATATACTACGTGAAAGATGATCAGGTGCAAAAAAACCCACAATCCATGGAGATCATAGAAGAAAATGCCTGAGCTTTTTTTTGGTGGAATTACATTTATTTTTACAACAAGTTAAGCTACTTTCAGTATTAAACAGCTTTCTTCCCCTAACAAGTTTCAATTAAGACTCCATATCGAGTCTTTAACTTTCACTTTGAGAACTCTTTTCTTGGCTGTTTCTCTTCCCAGTGATCTAAAGCACCAAAGCTTTGTCTGAGCTCAGATAAAAAGGCTTTCTCTTCTTATTTTCCAAATGTGAAATTGTACCTATTTCTCTACCAGACAGGCCTTTCCCTCACAAAATCATAAGGTCCTCCTTGAAACCATTCCTCTTTCAAAAGTGACGTCCTACAGGGTTCCCAAGTTCCCAACATCAGCTTCTTCCCCTGCCCACCTCCCTTTCTCCTCTCTCCTTCAACTCCATCTCAGTAACTTTGGCCCTTCTAAACTAAAGAGAAATGGGATCAAAAAAGTTTAGTGAAGGAAGAGAGTCAAAACCAGGTGACCTCTGCCAAGTGTGAATTCCTTTCAAGAAGACTGAAGAAAGCAGTTGGCCTTCCTTATAAAGTCACTTAGATCTCAAGAGTGAGGTGAGGAAGGACAAGTTTGAAGAACTAACGCTTTCAGTATTTCCCTACCACTAACAGACTAGTGTGGACTCCTATCCACTGCTCCCACCTTTCCAAACTAAATACAACAGTGTTCTGCACCCTGCTCCCTCACAAACATACAAATCATGTCTCTCTTCCCCCTCAGCTCCAGTTTAAGAACTGCAAGTCTAGGAATGCTGGTACATGATTATTTTGTTCACATATGTAAAGACTGTTTCAAAAGTGGGAGATTATTAACTGCCTTTCCACGTCCACTGGGAATAGTAAAAGAAAATAAAAGCTTAAAATTGTAGCAACATATATTCAGTTTAGCCATTATGAAAAACTTTGGAACCATAAGGCTTGTTAAGCGTTGAAACCAATTGCATACAAAAGCTGAAAGATTTCTGGCAGAGGGTACAGAAGTTTTGCTGTTATAAAACACTGCTTGCCCAGCAGTATCTTCATCCATGCCTTGGATATAGTAGATCATGTCTAGGAAAGGCATAATATGAATATATAACCTAACAAGCTCTATCTTCCACACTACTGGGGCAGCCACCAGCATTAAGACTGTTGTATACATGCATAGCTGAAGGCACACACAAAAACATGTATTACGAGATGCACTGAAAGAACAGACAACATGAATGTATTCTAGTGAGCAATTATTTGGAATCTTATTACTATTATTCCAACCCATTCTGCTGCTAGCATATGGAACAAAAGAATAGAACAGAAATGGTTAAGTCAACGAAAGAACTACTGAAATACAAATAAAATATATGTATTTCCAAGGTCATCTTGAAGCTTCTAATTGTCTTCAGGTTAGAAGATTTCACTGCAAAAAACCATAAACCTACAGAATAATAAACTCCATGCTTGTCACTGCTGGCTACCATAGCTAGAAATAACACTGCATAACTTGAGATAAACTTTTTGCATAGTTATCTTTGCATGATTAAGTCCTACAAATTTTGAGAACTGATTGGCCGTGTAGAATATAACAGGGTCAAAATTTTAAAAAATGGTACTTTAAAGGCAAACTTCCAAACCATACTTTGAGATTTTGTTAACAAGTGTGATATTTTTTTCCTTTAAGTTTTAATTATACAGGTTCTCTTATTTACTCTAAGC